GTTGAATACAAACTTTTTGACAACTGTGTGATAGATAAGATTCAAACTAATTATAGACAACTCCGCGGATATCTATTTTTACTAATTTCTTAAGTAAACTGGGATGATATACACAGCCAAAGGTCTTGCATAAGTCAATAAATGTCCCTAAAGTAATCAACAGCTTGTGAGTAGGAGGATTGTCTTGCAAAAAAAGAACACTTTTTGACAAGCTTTTGTATATTTATTTATTTATTTCCTTTTTTATAAACTATAGGGCTTATCCTTATTTACAGTTATTTTACACGCTAAGCTATATTTTAAAAAAGCCTCTATTCTAATGAATACTGACAAAACGTTTCTCGTTATTGACAATAGTTTATAAGAAGTATTTATTATTATTATTTCACAATGTAGTACAATTTTTTATTTGATAATGAAATTGAGCAATAAGCGGTTCATTGTTATTACGCATTACGCCCTGATAATTTATATCGTTCCCGGTATCATAGTAAACAAAGTGGCGCCTCTTACAAACCTGAGTAATTTTTAAATTTCAAACGATATACAGCGTGATTCGCTAGCTAGAAACAAAGATTTTAATAATATAAAATTGTGTTTTCTGCAAACAAGTGTATGAGACTTTCGTTTTGTACTTAGTTGTGTCGTATATATGTATTAAAAATAATAAAGGCCCCAAAACGCTTCCTTGAGGTACCTTACAAACTTTGTAAATTGTATGAATTAAGATTTTTGGTTGAAATAACGTGGACAAATTGTAAATAATCGAATACTACTCTAATTCAAGTACTTGATGAATTATTTCTCAAGTACTTGATGAATTATTTCTCCCTACTTGATGGATTAGTTTTCAATTATTTAATAAATTATATTCTCTCGGTTTTCTAATATATTTCTCTCTAGCTTACTTTGGAAGCCTTGTTCCTCTATCTACCGTTCATTACTATGTATCTTTGACATCAATAATCATACATTCATCACATTTTCTCAAAATCACCATTTTCTTTGAGATTTATCTTCTGATATCTTCCTCCTTTCCTATATAGCAAGTTGGATCAAATATCGAAGTTTTTTACTTAAATTCATTCAAATATGTCTATTCTAAGCTTAGAGCTTTTTAATATCTTGATTTCCAAAGCACTTAAGATCTGGTGTTCTATTTCTCAAATAATTGATGAATTATTTCTCAAGTACTTGATGAATTATTTCTCAAGTACTTGATGAATTATTTCTCTAGCACTTGATGAATTATTTTTCAAGCACTTGATGAATTATTTCTCAAGTACTTGGTGAATTATTTCTTTATAAATTGATGAATTGTTTCTCAAGCACTGGATGAATTACTACTCAAGTACTTGATCAATTAGTTTTCAATTAAGAAATTATTATTTAAGTTTAGATATTTATGCAGTATTCATCGACTTTAAAAAGGCATGTGATAGTGTGAGAGAGAAACAACTCACAAAATACTGGAGAAATTTAATATACATATCAAAGATCGTAAATTAAAATTATTTATTATATTAAATTTTCCCTACCAATAAAATTTTATTATCCAAAATCGTAAATCGTCTGCGAAGCGGTCTTGATATATTCTTTAAAATTAGACTGTCTATTTTGGTAGATTCGGCGAAAAACGGCCGAAAAAAAATATTTACTTGGCAACAAATGGATTTTTTTCATCGCCGCAATATCATTTTATTAACAAATCTTTTCGCGTCGTTTCCCGATAAAATGCACCAAAGAAAATAACGAAAAATCTCGATATTGCTGTCAACGGACGAAAATCAAAATAAACAATTTTTTCCGCATATTGACTTGTGTTCGAGAAACGTTTAACAGTTTATTTGACTTTCGACGTGTTTGTAAACGAATTAAAATACATACATCCACAATTTTTAATTTAACACCTATAATTATTGGGTAAAAATCGACCATAATGATTAGTTCTACAACCCACGCGCGAATTCTTTTATTTTCAAAATTTGAAGCGGTACTTGACCAGTTTTAAAAGACATAATATATGCCTTTTATACTAAAGCTATAACCTCTCAAGCAAGGTCGTTAATAGTTCGATATTAAAGTAATAAATGGTATGCCTCAGGGTAGCGTTTTAAGTCCTATCCTGTACCGGCTTTGCATGAATGATAGCTACAAAATGGGTGTGGTGATGATTTTAATTTTTGCTGATAATACGGCACTATTTGTAGTAGGGCAGAATTTTAACATTTATCCCAATAAACGAGGTCATTAATTATAATGAAAAATCAAGTTGAATGAGCTAAAATACATAACACAAGCCAAGATGAAAATAAAGTACCCAAATATGAATCTGGCGTCGTTGTCAACTACATTAAATCTGGTTCACGAGCTAGGAGGTGCCTATTATATTAGGAGGATGCACAATGGGCCTAGTGAGGCCTAAGTGCCGTGGGAGGTAATCCACCTTCAACGCGTTACAGATACAGATATGAATCTGGATGCTAAATTTATATAGTATAGTGGAACGAAAGTGCAAGGAGTATAGAAAAGAAGAACTACACGGGAATTATACTATGTATAAAAATATCAGATCACAAAGAGTCTGGTGGTTCTGTAATTTTTTAAGAAAATGCAATGTATGTATAATTAATGATGTCACAGATACACAGTAATGAATAGAACGGCCAAAGTAAGCTGGAGTTAGAAAATGGAGAAAAATATAGTATTCATTAAATACTTGAGAAATAATAATGTAATTGAAAAATAATTCGTTAAGTACTTGAGAAGTAATTCATCCAGTGCTTGAGAAAGAATTTATCAATTTATTAAAAAATAATTCATCAAGTACTTGAGAAATAATTCTTCAAGTACGTAAGAAATAATTCTCCAAGTACGTGAAAAATAATTCATTAGGTTCATAAGAAATAATTCATTAGATACTTAAAATATAATTCATCGAGTACTCAAGAAATAATTCATCAAGTACGTGAGAAATAATTCGTCAAGTACCTGAGAAATAATTCATTAGGTTCATGAGAAATAATTCATTAGGTACTTGATCGAGTACTTGAGAAATAAGTCATCAAGTACTTGAGAAATAGAACACCAGATCTAAAGTGCTTTGGAAATCAGGAGCTTCAAACAAGTGCAATACTAGCTTGTAAAAAACTAGAGTCTGACTAAAAAGCTGTAAAAACATCTTTGAACGAATTTTAATAAAAAAACTCCGGTATTATTATTAAAAAATATTAGGAAGATGAATTAGATAGTTAGTGTAGTATAGCATAGCGGAACGAAAGTGTAAGGAGTATAGAAAAGAAGAACTACACGGGAATTATACTATGTATAATATGGAGTCTTCAAAATATCAGAGATGCAATGCATTTATTATTATTGATATCACAGATAAACAGTAATGAATAGAACGGCAAAATTAAGCTGGAGTTATAAAATGGAGAAAAATATAGAATTCATTAAATACTTGAGAAATAATAATGAAATTGAAAAATAATTCGTAAAGTACTTGAGAAGTGATTCATTCAGTGCTTAAGAAATAATTCATCAATTTCTTAAGAAATAATTCATCAAGTACTTAAGAAATATTTCATCAAGTACGTGAGAAATAATTCATTAAATTCATAAGAAATAATTCATAAAGTACTTGAGATATAATTTATCGAGTACTTAAGAAATAACTCATCAAGTACGTGAGAAATAATTCTTCAAGTATGTGAGAAATAATTAATTAGGTTCATGAGAAATAATTCATTAAGTACTTGAGATATAATTCATCGAGTACTTGAGAAATAAGTCATCAAGTACTTGAGAAATAAGTCATCAAGTACTTCAGAAATAGAACACCAGATCTGTGCTTTCGTAATTCAAACTAGTGCATGTAAAAAAATAGTCTGACTAAAAAGCTGTAAGAATAGACATCTTTGAATGAATCTTATTAAAAACACTCCGGTATTATATAATCCAAGAAAGAAGAACTAACCAGGAATTTTATAATGTATGTAGAGTCTGCAAGATATCAGATGTAGTCAAATCCCAAAAAGTCTGGTGGTTTTGCTCATTTTTGAGAAAGTTAATAGTAGATAGAGAAACAAGATAGTCAGAGTAAGCTGGAGTTAGAAAATGAAGAAAAAATATAGAAGATATATGAAAATAGATATAATTTATCAAATACTTGAGATATAACCCATCAAATATTAAAAAATAATTCATCAAGTACTTGAAAATAATTCATCAAATACTTGAGAAATAATGCTTCAAGTACATGAAAAATAATTCATCAAGTAATTGATAAATAGAACAGTACATCTAAAGTGCTTTGGAAATCAAGAGCTTTGAATTAAAACATTAATAACGTGTAAAAAAATAGTATTTGTGACTAAAAATTTGTAAGCTTAGAATAGACACCTCTGAACGAATTTAAGCAAAACATTCTGATATCCAATTGGCTACAATATGACAAAATAAAATGATAGCATAATATTTGGGCAAACCAAAGTGCAAGGGCAAGAAGTATAGTAGGGTAAATCAGAACTCTGAGATATCAGAGAATGGTGATTTTGTTAATTTTTGACAAAATGTGATGCAGGTATGCTAATTGATGTCAAAAATATACGGTAATAAATAGTAGATAGAAGAACAAGACGGTCAGAGTAAGCTGGACTTAGAAAATTGAAAAAAAATATAAAGAAAACTAAGACATATATAATTCATTAAATACATGAGCAATAATTCTTAAAATACTTGCGAAATAATTCAAGTACCTACTTGAGAAATAATTCATCAGTTACTTGAGAAATAGAACACCAGATCTAAAGTGCTTTAGAAATCAAGAGCTTCGAACTAGTGCAGTACTAGAGTGTAAAAAAGATGTAAGCTTAGGCCACCTTTGAACGAATTTAAGTAAAAGCTCCGATATTATTTGAAACCTTGTATATCCAAATGGCTAGATTATAAGTAGAGAACTCTTTTTATCCTGATAACATAAGAAAACATTGACTTACTTTTATTATCGCCAGGACACGTTTTGCAGCAACTTTTTTCTAATAAAACAGGATCATCGCAGGTCGGTTCAGGACATTCATTCTTTATGTTACGGCACTGAACTCTCGCCACTATCCTGCGCTTCCTCTGGAACTGAAACATAAAAAATTCATCAAGTAATTTCGGTTTTTACGGGATTCAATGAAAAAAGTATGGAGAAGAAAAATAATTCTGGCCATTTTTATTAAAATTTGTAAAAACAAGATATCCACTCTACTTGATACAAGTTGACAGTAGGTTACTTCTTAATACAGCAATAAATTTACGAAACACATTTTTTTAACAGCTGATACCGAAGTGAAATGAAATCAAACTAAGAATACAATCTAGGTCAAAAATAACATTAAAACATTAATTTCCTGCAAACGGCAGACCATTTAAAAAAAGATAAGCGCCGACTGTACACATAACTTAAATACATAAACGACCCTATTTTCTAATGAGCCTCGCCTGGGACACAAATTTCCTTTTTAAAGGCGTCCCAAGACGACAAACAAGTGCAGCACTCGGAATGAAAATTAGAAATAAAAGAGAAAAACGCAGAAATAATGTGCTTGTTACTTTTTATCAAAACTTTTCCAACACTTTATTAAAAAGTTTTTAAGTTTTTACTTCCAAGACAAACAAATTGGAAGACGGTAGATAAGAAGTTATGACAGTTATACTAAGAAGGGTTTCTAAGAAAAGAAATAATATTTTTTTAGATATTACGGAAGTAGTTTAACAAATTGTGAAGGAACAGTGATAACAAATACTTCTGGTACAACTTGGCAATGGCAATAGTGTTTTTTCTGGCAGAATTTAATCACTAATTTTACTACACTTACACTTTCGCTAATATTATGCATTTAAAAATAATCGATGAACAAAAAAGGTGTCAAGAGTAACATTTAAAATGTTATTTATAATTTTTTTGACAAATTTTTTTTTTTTGATTAATTTTTTTTTGACATTTTTTTTTTTTTCTAATTTTTTTGGAAAAATTTTTTTTTGACAAAACTTTTTTGGACAAACCTTTTTTGAACAAAATTTTTTGGCCCAAAATTTTTTGGACAAAACTTTTTGGACAAAATTTTTTTGACAATTTTTTTGGACAAAACATTTTTGGACAATTTTTTGGACAAAATTTTATGTACAATTTTTTTGTACAAAATATTTTTACATTTTTAATTTTTTTTTCGTTTTTCTCGGTAACTAATGAGTTATTTATAATCTTTTTGGGCACATTTTTTTGATTATTTTTTTTACTTTTTTTCGACAATTTTTTTCGACAATTTTTTTTGGACAAAATTTTTTTGGTCAATATTTTTTTGGACAAAACTTTTTTTGACAAAACTTTTATTGACAAAACTTTTTTGGACCAAAATTTTTTTGGACCAAAATTTTCTTTGTACATTTTTTTGACAATTTTTTTTTGATTAATTTTTTTTTACTTTTTCCGACAATTTTTTTCGACAATTTTTCAACAATTTTTTTGGAAATTTTTTTTTTGGACAAAACTTTTTTGGAATTTTTTTTGGCAAATTATTTGGACAAAATTTTTTTGGACAAATTTTTTTGTACAAAATTTTATGTACAAAATTTTTTTGTACAACATATTTTTACATTTTTAAAGTTTTTTTTTCGTTTTTCTCGGTAACTAATGAGTTATTTATAATCTTTTTGGACACATTTTTTAAACAATTTTTTTGGACAAAACTTTTTTGGACAAATTTTTTTGGACCAAAATTTTTTGGACAATTTTTTTGGACAAATTTTTTTGGTCAATTTTTTTGGCAATTTTTTTTGGACAAAATTTTTTTCTACAAAATATTTTTACATTTTTAATGTTTTGTTTTTTCGGTTTTTACGGTACCTAACTAATGAGTTATTTATAATTTTTTGGACATATTTTTTTTTACTTTTTCGATAATTTTTTTCGATAATTTTTTTATTAACTTTTTGGACAATTTTTTGGACATTTTTTGTACCAAATATTTTTACAATTTTAATGTTTTTCGTCTTTCTCGGTAACTAATTAGTTATTTATAATTTTTTTGGACACATTTTTTTGATATTTTTTTTCGACATTTTTTTTGACAAAATTTTTTTGGTAAAATTTTTTTTGGACATTTCTTTGGTCAAAATTTTTTTAGACAAAATATTTTTACATTTTTAATGTTTTTTTCAAGTTAAAAACCTTCAAACGCGAATATCTCGGAAACAGTAAGATATAGAGCAAAATGATCACTAAGTTTTAGGACAGACGTAGGGAGCTCTATCGACCCATGCAAAAAAAATAAATTTTTTTTTTGAAATTTCAACATTTTTTCTAAAGACCACTGCATTACTTCCCGCAGTGTTGTTAGAAGAATCATTAACCTCCTCAACTAGAGCATTAACTGTAGGAGTGAAAGTTGAAAAAGTCTCTAAGTTTAGAAATTCATTATAAAATAGATGAAAAAGCTAGATAGGCCATAACTAGTCCAAAAATGTTTTCTATTTCGAAAAATCCCAAAAACTGGTTATTTTACGGAAAACAAACGTTTGAATTTGAAGTTTAAAGTAATGACGCTGAATAGGTTTAAAATAGGAGAAATTTATTATAAAATAGATGGAAAGAAAGATAAATAGTCCAAAAATCTTTCCTATTTCGAAAAATCTCAAAAACGGAACATAGACGTTAAAATTTGAAATTTTAAGTAATGACGCTAAATAGGTTAAAACAAATCTGATGTGTATAACACATGACTTTCCTATCTAGTTATTTTTCCGGTTATTGCAGCACCTCTATAAATGTTTTGAAGATAAACTAAATATATAAATTTTCCACACTCATCTAACTCGAAACATTTTTCTACAGATATTTAGCACTTTTCCACCAATTTTTCCATTACGGTCCATTTTAGAAAAATTTGATCTAAATCGGTTCATGACATAAATACAGGTATTAACTTGGCCCTGGTCTCATTATCACCCGGTATAGTAAAGAATGTGCCCAATAGTTACCTGTATATAAAGAAAATGTTCGGCAAGCTAAATCATATTGACTTTGAGCTTTATTCCGAATTCTGAAGCTCCATTCCGAACATAAAAAATTCAGGATGTAATTTAAAGTCGTGTTTTGTTTCAGACTGAATTGCTTCAGCTTTCTAGGCATCCTTGAATTATTTAGTTGTTGTTTTAGAGAAGAGAATACGGAACGAGATAGGGAATTAAAGTGTGAAGTGCTCTGAGCTGGTCAGGACGTTGTCAAGTTTATGAAAAATTCCTAGGATAGATGAAAGGTTCTAAAACAAATATTGCGATATCTTCACGACGATCGATGGTACAGCCACTGCCGGTACGCTTTTTTCGGCGCGAGGTACACACGAAACTTGCGAAATAGGTTAGGTATACGCCCATGCTAAAAAAATCGTCGGTAGATCACAGAGGAGCGTTTATAAAAATGATTGTCGGTCAATGACCTTGGTGACCTCCACCTCTGCACCGGTACGCCCCCAACTATGGGATGTTCATTAATGGAGAAGAGAAATCTCGCCGTAAACACAATGACATTTAAGTCGGTGTTGCCAATTATAGCCTAATTTCCCTAATATCTTGGAATTTATAAAAAGTTACTTAAATATAAAGAACATTGATGAACAAAACGAAGAAATTGATAAAATAGTAGTAATCCTAAAACAATTATAAATTTTAAGCTATAGAAATAAAAGATTGAGATTAAAAAAAGACAACAGAAGAAGATAACTATAAAAACAATAAATGATCAAATTTAAAAAGGAACGATAAAATGATATAGTAAAAAATACATGTCAGTGCGATTGATATTTTTTTTCATTATTCAAAGATTTTCAATGGTATCTGCTCTTCTGAACGTTTCTCCATTATACTCGTATAACTTACACTTTTACTCGATTTGTATTGGAATATTCTTTGATACAAGTTTCAGATTTAAAAAAATATATTAAAAAACAAACATTGAAAACGCAATAAAACAAATGAAAATTTTAATTTTTAGTGAAAGAAAAAATATATACGTGTGTGTAAAGGTAAATTTTGAATTCCTCTAGAGCCACATTTCCAAAATTTAATTACTGTATTTTGATTATGGAAAAATTAGAATTATATTTAATATATCGTCTTGGTGTCGATAAATTTGGCAACGCGGCATCGCACCGTTTAAATCAAATCCCAAAACCGCTATACATAATGGACCAATTGGATCAGAAGCAAGTTTAGCAACTTATCTTTATTTTTTTCTCTCGAATTTTATTCATTCAAAAGATTTGGAAGCGTATGTGGGAGGAATGAGAGAACCATCATCTGTTGGTGTGTTAACATTGTTTATAGATCGATTAAATTTCGGCAGTGGCTACTGCGCCGACAAGAACATTACCATAGTTTTGGTCAATGGAACTTTATTTTATTCTCGTTCTAATGAATTAATAACAGAGAGATATGTGAAGAGATCACTGTCTAATAGATAAAGAAAGTCTAAGAGCAGACATTATTATTTACGAAAAGGTGGATAAGAATTACTTTTCTTAAAAAATTTCTAATGAAAAATCTTAACAATTCAACGAATTCAAAAGGACCAACTTGTTATCAAAACTCAGACGGTGGTAAAGTCTTTTAGCAAAGATCTGGATTGTTTTATTTATGGTTTCAATAGATAAATGGAGGTAATTATTCCATAATTACCACAGATACCCAACAACAGTTTTAAACACTATATTTAACAAACAAATTATTAAGAACATTATAAGACTTTTTAGTTATAACAATACTATTATTACTATAATTCTCTTATTGACATATTTGACATTTAGCTTAAAAATATCAAATAACAGGCTATTAGGTAAAAAAAAGGTTAAACAAACAGAAAAACTGTAAGTAAAAAGTGGAAGAAATAGGGCAAAATTACAGGCAAGAACTAGAAGAATACAACCTAAACGAAACAATTATAGAAGATAAAAATTAGTAAAGCAATGAAAAGAGAACAAGGATAATAATTAGAAAAGACGACAAGCGCAATAGAAAACAAACATCATAAAGAAGAAAAATCATGAAAAAGTGAAATTAAAACATGAAAAAGGAATGACTGAGATCCT